GCATCTCTGTTGGGGAATGACATGTCTTTTTCTTGCCTCTTAAGAAGAGACTTCTAGAAAAGCAATCCTGCAAGCTAGGCCTTCCAATGGGTGTGTTGCCAAGGCCTAGGGTTGGTCTGGATGTGCAGGCTGGCATTCAGAAGATGAGCTAATGCTGAATAAACTAGCTCGTGTAGCAGAGGACATCTCCGTTACATGAGGACAAGTAAGCTGTGGTCAAGCTTTCGTGTAGTGTCGCAATGCAACAATTCAGGTGGCTGTAGAGCCAAAAGGCTCAGAAGAAAGTTTTAAAGTGAGGACCTGGGCTTTTTATACATAAAAGTACCTCCAACTTAATGAAGAGTTTCTGCAGAGGCACACAGCCATGCTGACTCTGGAAGCAATATTAACAAGAGAAAAGTGTGCAGTCTTGTACAAGGCCGGCCTGCATTGCTGTTGGGAGAAGGAGGAGTAGTCAAGTGATGGAATTGAAGGTGCTCAGGAGCAGGCTGTAGAGAGGCATACCTGCTGTTTCCTGCCATTCGAGTAGTCCATTTGGGGAGACAGTGCTGGAAAGCTTTGCAGCACTGCTCCTTCCTCTGTGTGTGTAAAATAAGGGCACTGAAGGCACATTCACACGCACCAGAATGAGATGAGATAAAAATGTTTGCTTTTTCAGATACTTTTCAGGAGGAAAAGAAAAAGTTTTCCAAAACATGAATAGTCATGCCTGAGGCAAACCTCTACCCCTCCAAATGCATAAAACTTTTTGGATTGGCAAATGCATTTTTTTTCACTTTGAGCTCAACTAGTCTTTTGCATTTAAATGCTGACAGGAAGAGGAAAAAGAGAAATTAAAGTTTTCTAATGTCTACCTTAGCCTGTGTAATTAATAGAAGAGGTAATTTGCTGGTTACTCAGCTGAAAGACATGCCAGCAACAGCAACATGGTATTAATAACTTGGGAGAAACAGGAAAGAGTTTGTTCTTCAGTGACTGTTCCTCTCCCAGCAAGAACCAGCTGAGTCACAGAAAAATCAATCTCTGCGATCAGACAGCTAGGTTATAGCTTTTGGCTTTAGGGTATTTTGTTAAATAGCAAGATGAATTAAGAGGTGGTTGATTTATTTATATGTCTGGGGCTTTGGATGGATTATGTCCCAAAGTTTACATTATTTCAGTCTAGTTATTTTATAGAATTTTTTTGTTGTTGTTAATTTGACAGAAAGGATTGAGCAGCCTTTTACACACATAGTGCCACATCTGTCACTGAATCAAACAGCACGTTCACAAGATAAACGGAGATTCAGGAATAATTGCTCGGTTAGTTGCAGCGACTTGGCTGCAGGCAAAACCACCAGAAGAGAGCAAAGAGAGGCATAAGAAATGCAGAGAGATGAATTTAATCTTCTGTTGCTCTTGTGCCGAGAAAGTGTAGCTGGACACGGCTCCATCGCAGCAGAGTGAGCAGCCAGCTGGTTTCACCCACTGAGAATCCAGCCCTGATACAAGTGTGATAGACTTAAGGGGTAATATTGACAGTCATTAAGGATAAATGAGACAATCGCAAGAAATCTATTCTCTGACAACAGAAAATGACTGTTGCTATATTTATATGTTCTTATGGTATGTGTAAGTTGTTTGGAGGGATAGAAAGAAAGGGAAATGCTTTTTCTACAATATTGGTTGGTTTAAATAGGATTATGCTATTATTTTGTAAACATGCCTTTTTTTTTCATTCTAGGTGCAACAGGGACTATTAAAGATGTGTAAGTACTTAATATACATCCTCTCAAACCTATAAACCTGGATTTATCTGCAGTGTTATTAGGCTCATGCTAGATTTTGCCATACATAGTTTAGGTACATAATTTAGCTGGGTTCCAAAATATAATCAGCCCCATCAGAAGTTTATTGTTTTTTAATGATTGCTTCCATCTCCCCAAAACAACTTCATATCTTGTTTACTTTTGTACAAGAATCTTCTCTTTATTTCTCTAGCAGACAGAAAAATACGCCTCTCTGAGAGCTCCATCTTCCAGAGATGGCCGTGTTTCTTCACACTCCTCCTCCATGCCCTGTGTACTTTTCTCCAAAGGGCATGTGTTAGTGTGAAGCAAGCACATACATTTCCACAGTGTCCTATGAAGGATATAGGGAACCATTCAGGCAAATTTCTTCTGTTCGAAGGAGACCTGGTAACCCATCCAGACTTCCTTTAGAAAGTCCCCTTCTTCCCTATTCTTAATTGCAGATAATATCCCTTTCCCAGAAGGAAAAGAATGAGATGGTCGTTACGGACCTGACCTCTGCACTGAAGACCATATTTATTTGCTCTTCTTTTCTCCCTTATCTTTCATGGTTAGTAACAGCGGGCATCTCTACCCATCCTATTTTTCCCTAAGAGTGGAAGGCTTGTACCTTCGTTGTCCTGTTGCCTCTTGCAAACTCCTGGTTTTCAGAGAAGCAGCAAAAGATTAGCCTTTCTTAGCTGTTTTTTCACTTGGTGGTGCATAAATGTGCAGAAAAGGCTTCATTTAGGCATGAAGTTCTTTTCCTACCAATGAAACATTCAAGAAGTTCTCCTGAGGTCTAATTTTGCCTTTTTTCCATTTCATATATTTCATATTTGTCAAAAGAT